ATATACCTGCGTATGTAAAATTACTTAACCGGATAAAGTTAAAAATAAAGTTTATAACGAGATAGAAATTTTATTTTTTAACTTTATGGTAAACCAAGACAATTTTCACATTCCATCATCTAACCAGTTAAAATCTCATCAGTAAACCAGTCAAAGATCTTCAAGCCAGTTGAAAGAACCTCAGTTGTTAAGAACCTCAAGCCAGTTGAAACCCAAATTTAATTTTCAACGATATTGATACACATTATATATATGATATATGATATATGAGACTCATTTTTTACCCATTCCTATTCTCTGCCAACACCCAATCCTAGTAACCCAGATAATTCTCCAGCCGGTGTAACTCTGGGTTACTGGTTATCAACCCTTAACTTGGCTAACTGGATATTGTGTTTACATTCTCAATAATATATATATTTTTAAGTGTCCTTTCCAATTGGATTAAATGTCAACATCGAATGTAAATTTAAAAAAGTATGCAAAGTAAACTTGATTTTACAAATTCTGTATTGTACAGCGTATTGAACAGCGTAAGAAGTTATCTTTTTTGTACAACCTACAAGCAAAATAAATTTGTAGAAAAGAATGTAGATATTGTAAACATTAAAAATGTTTAAAGATCAACACCGAAAGCTAAAAATGTTACTTGTTTTTTAAGATCAATATAATGCATACCATAGTTTTTTACAATATTCAAAATAAGTAATAAAATAATAAAAACGAATAAAAAACGTTTAAAAAGTGCATCGTGCCCACTGGGATGTCATGTAAATTTTTTTTGTTTGAAAGTGTTGTAGATAAAAGCGGGGCTAGTTAATCATAGGATCATGTTGGGGATATGTGTCGCGTGTCGGATTAGAATAGTGACGTAATGCGCAACAAAAGGTTTTTGGACAACAGTATGGACACAAGTGCAACCTGTCTCACCTGCAAAAAAAATAACTTGGACTTTGCCATTAACGGACGTGTTTTTGTAAAATAAATTAAAAATATCAAGAGTTACAATATAAAGATCTGTCAGATATTCAGGAGAATAATTTATTAAAAATGTTTTATGATAAGTTTGATAAAACGGAAGTTATTAAATCTTTAAGAGGAAAGTATAAAACTAAAAAAAGAAATTCTTTGAATTTTTCAGAGATAAAAATAAAAAGCACTATTTGTTAAACATTCTGGAATAAAAAATGAAACAAAACACATCATTAAATCAAACTGAATAAATCATTGTCGATGTCAAAGATAAACTCGACAAAAGCTGATAAAACTTTTATTTAAAATTAAAAAAGGAAATAATGAAACGCGGGAACTGAGCGAGAGCAAATTCTAAATTTCTTTAAGCCTAAAATTTGTTTTAGGGGTAATGTAAATATTGAACGGTGAAAACGAAGTCATTCGAAAATATTGTTGCATAGCAATAAAAAAATTTAATTTAATCAATATTTGTAAAATTTAGTTAAGAGAAGTTAAAATTTAGTTTATTTATTTATTTAAAAAGTTAAACGGAAAACAGGTAAAAAAATAATAAAATAAACAATTAAAGCACAAAAGAACCGTAATAATTAATATTTTGAACAAAAATTTTAAAGAATAAAATTATATTGGATAGCTATGTTTTATTGCGTCAATTTTACATAAATAAAGACTTTAGTCTTTATTTATGTAAAATTGAAAAGAATTAAGGAGTTTAAAAAACAATTACTTAAAGAATCAAAAATCTTAAAAAAAATAAAATATTTACTATATTTTCCTTATTATTTAATTAACTTATGTAGTTTTTATTTCTAAAACGGGTTCAAACTACATTAATAATTTCGATTCAAACCAACGAGTTATATTAGGCAACGGATTAAAATTATTTTAGAATAGCAGATGTTTTTTAAAGCAACTGCAGCTTTTTTTGTAACTATGAAAGTAAAAGAATATTTATTATATTTATTTCATATTTATTCTTGATAATCGATTTCATAGTTACCTTGTTGCAGTCCGTACGATTCATTTATGTTTGATTTTTTTTAATTCCTACATTTTTTTTATGCAAGATGTTTTTAAAAAACATTTGCAATCTTTGCAATGGTTTTTAGAAGACATTAAATATTTTTTAATGTAATATTTTCTACTGCAGCTGTGCCGTTGAACTTTATTTTGGTAATACTCGGGCTTTAATTTTTATGTACGTTAAAAAAATTTAATTACGTTAAAAAAAGCCTTTGTTATTTTTTTAAGCATGACATGAGTATTCCTCACGTCTCATAATTCAAAACGTTAATAAATAAAGAAAATAATAAAAAAAGAAATTAATAAAGAAACTTTATCAATTGAAATTTCAACCGATAAAAAAAAAAAAATTGTTATAAGCTGTTCTTATCACCCACCTTCTGGCAAATAGAAAATTTTAGTATATTTTTAAATAATCAAGTCTTAAGCTAAAACATTTATGAAAAAAAAATTATCAATATATTGAGCGATTTGAATTTACATTGCTTCAAGCATGGGATTTTTTGATGTTTCAGATAAAACACTTATTACAACATTAACTGTGCAAACTCCAAACTTAAGTATGTTCATACTTATACCAAATGAGGAAGCCTTGCAAAAATTTGCGATGGCGGATATATATATATATAGGCTTGGGAACAAAAAAGCTCTAAAACGTTTGCCCCCCCTCCCTTTGCCCAAATGTGAGGGTACTGATGTAGTAAAATTTTCAACTTTACTATCTTAAACTAATTTTAAATTTATCGACAGATTTTAAATTTCGTAGAAAAATATTGTAAACCATAAAAGTTATGTCAATGCGAATTTTCTGACAATTTCTGTCAATGCGAATTTTCTGAAAATTTCCTTCACGACTCGTTCGTTTGTTTAACTTTCATTAATAAATTATAAACTTTCTGAAGACTGTTATTACCCCGCGTATAACCACTTTCAAATAATGATATTTTTTTCAACTCAGAAATTCGCCTAATCTTGACAAAGAGTTTGTGGTTGTTGCCAGGAAACTTTTTTCTAAGACTTCATTTAGCTGCTCATTGATAGTTTTATTTCATCATTTTTTGTGCTGACATCTTTTTCACTTGAAAAATCTTGATGATTTAATTTTGTGACCTTTTCTCTATTTAGAAGGTCCAAAATTTTTTTATTCTTAAAGTTTAAAGATGTTTTAATATATATATATGTATATATATATATATATATATATATATATATATATATATATATATATATATATATATATATATATATATATATATATATATATATATATATAAATACATATATATATATATATATATATATATATATATATATATATATATATATATATATATATATATATATATATATATATATATATATATATATATATATATATATATATATATATATATATATATATATATATATATATATATATATATATATATATATATATATATATATATATATATATATATACATATATATATATGTCCATTCCAAAGTTTAGAGTGTCAACATTCAGTGTATTGTTTTTTTCACAACAACATAGTTTTTAATACCATTAAAAATGGAAAACTTGAAATCAAAACGTTTTATTGTTTTTTTTTTGTTGTTGTTGTTTTGGTGGAGAGTTTTGGTTCATTATTTCTTTATAAAGTAGAATGCTGCGGAAAGTCACCGTATTCTTGCAGAAGTTTATAGCGAGCATGTTCTTTTTAAAACCGCTTCAATTGATTGGTTTAAAATCTTTAAACCAATCGTTGAGGCAAAACAAAAGTACCTTATGGCCTAGACAGTGCCCCGTATGACTATTGTTAGTTTCAATCAACGCAGAACGCAGTCACTGGAATTTCACCTCAGAACAGGGTATCGATTGAGACTACAAATAAACTTATTTGTAGTCTCAATAGTTTACCTAAAAACAACCTCCTCCATGTTGATCCTCGTTTTTTAAGGAGTATTTGTTTCCTTTTGGATTTGTAACACTTAATGATGATACCCATACCTAACAAAATATAAATGAAGCCTGAATGTTTCTTTGTTATTGATATTTAAAAACCCAAAGTTTTCTTGAAGAATGCTATTTCAAATAAGTATAGAAAAAGATCATTCTTTTCATTTGGGGCTACACATTTACACTCGTGGACAAAATTTTGGACACGCACATGGGTTTATTACAAAATAAATAATTAAGCAAAAAAATACTATTTATAACACTCAAAAAGTTTAGAAAATAAATTATTAGTAAAAAGTTAATAAAAGCTGCACCAAAGAATTGCTTTTTTCTATGAAATTCATTAATTAGTACAAAATTGTATGGGCAGATCAGCAAATAGCACCATATTAAAAATATTCATATTATCACCTTGTAAGTATTAGTTTTTTTTAGCGCTGACAAGTTTAATAACGTGTGGGATATCCTTTTGAAGCAACTGCTTGGCTCCTTCTTTGTATGGAATCCAAAAGTCTTTTTAAATCTTCAGGAGTACTTAGATAGTACCAAGAATTAATAATTGCCTCAATAAGTTCCTGCTTGATATTGGGATGTTTGGTTCCAACCATGCGCTTCAGTCTTGACCATAGATTCTCGATTGGTTTCAAATCGAAGCTATTTCCAGGCCATGACAAAACATCAATAATGTGAGTTTCAAACCATTTCATACTTGTTTGAGCTGTATGACATAGTGCTTCACCTTGCTGGAAGATAAAATCAATGCTATTACCAAAAAGTGTGCGAGCAGATGGAAGCAATGAAGGTTCAATAATGTCCTTGATATATTTTGAAGCGTTTACTGTTCCATTAACAACTTTAAATCGTCCAACTTCATTATATGCTATACATCCCCATATCATCACTCCCATGGGGTGTTTCTTGTAAGTATCAAGCACTCAGGATGGTAAGCTTCACCTGCTCTTCGGCAAACATAACCAGTGCCGTCATTACCAAAAATCTAGATTCGTGTCTCATCACTCCAGATGAATTTCTTCCACTGATCAACTGTCCATGTAGCATGAACTTAACCCCATTCTACTCTCTTTTTTCTCTGAATGGCGTTGAGCAGTGGTTTTTTCCTTGGAATTCGAGCTTTCAAACCTGCATTCACCAATCGCCGACGAACAGTTCTATCACTAACAGATATTTGTGCAACTTTAAGAGAGCTGTTAATTTCCTTTGCAGTCATTCTTCTATTTCGTAGTGCTTGTCTTGACATCATTCTGTCAGTTGTAGGTGTTGTTGCTTTTTTTCTTCCTTTTCCATGTTTGTTCTCAATGCTGCCAGTCTCTCTGAAACGCTCATACAATTTTCGTACCCCAGAGGCAGTCACACCACTTCCAATTTTGTCTACAATTGCTCTATAACTATAGCCCTCTTTTCGCGTTGTGACTGCAGTTGCTCTTTTTTTAGATGACAAATTAATCCTTTTAACATTTTTCATTGTTTAAATCTATTACAAATGTGAATATTGCTGTCTTAATTGCTTATATGTTAAAGATTTCATATTAAAAAAGTATTATAAAGATCTTTTCATAAAATTGAAATAAAAAATTACAGTGTAACAAAAAAAAATTCCAGTAAATGTGAGCAAAAATAAGGTAATTTAACATTGCACTTTCATTCTTTTATTTTTTATTTATCTAAATACTTAACTAAATGAAATTTGTAGCTTTATACTTACTGTAGAATACAATGGTAGAAAGCAATGTAATTTGGCTAGAAATATCAAATATTGTAAAAATAATTAAAAAAATAATCTGTTACTAGTGTATACAATTATATCCAATCAATTTTCACCCAAATATACTAATTTCCGAGTAAATGATTTATTAAATTATACCCCAAGCCAAAGCCATCTGCTTCTTGAACAAAAAATGCTAAGTTTGTCCACAATTTTGTCCGCGAGTGTAGGTAGTTTATGAAAAAAAAATTCTCCTAAATTAAAAAATTTTCTTAACGAATAATCTTACGTTAACTAATAACAAAAAATATTTTTTTTAAAGAAAGTAGAAATAAAATAGCACATAAAAACATTGCCCCTGCTCTCTTTAATTATTGCTATACTTAATGCTATCCTTTTTTAATTCTTTCATTCATAATCAAAATAAGAAATCTAATAGGGACAATTTATCTTTAATTGCAACAGACAAAAAAAACAGTATTTTTTGCCAATGCCGTATTTGTAGCCAATGAATCAAAAACGTGCTCAAATAATTACTTTTAAAAACAAGGTTATTTAAGTTGTTTTCAGCAATGACTATTAATTTGAGTTGTTTTCAGCAAAATAAAGTTTTAACAGTCGTTAATAAACACTGTCAATAAAAAATAAATTCATTATTATACATTCGAACAGTTAAAATAACGGATAGGAACCGATGTATGTGGACAAAATAATGCAAGCAAGACTTTTTTGGTCTGCGGCTTCTTTGAAACCTATTTTTTTGTTGGTTGAGTATTAGTAACTTGTATAAATAGTGTAAACAAAAAAAATTTATTTCCCTATTAATGTAAAACACCTATCTTTTTCAAAGTGCTAGGGGAATTAGAGTCAAAAATGATTTTTAATTCATTTTTGGCTCAAAGAGTTCCGTCAGTAGGAAAGGTACCGGCTCTCGCTTCTTTTTCTCCTTTCAAATCATCAGCAGGTTCTTTTCCGTTTCGGAGGTTACAAAGAAGTTAGTTGAATTAATAATCAGTTATTTAAAAGGTAAAACTTTTACTTCTGAATGTTAAACATGCGTTTTGATTTTTTCTGAAAAATTTCCAAAAATGTTTCGATCGAATGACGAAGCGGTTATAGTAGTGGATGGGATTTGCTGATAAATCAAAAAATTTTAAATATGTTAGTTAAAGTAATTATGTTTATTTATGCAAAAATTAAATTATTTGAAAATATTAAAGGTAGCGATTTTAAAAGTGAAAAAGATTAGTTTAAAGGTTATTTAATACAAAAATGTTTTATGTTTTACAAAAATGTTGCTTTATGTTGTTTTTTATAAAAAATATAATCTTTATTAGATTCAAGTTTTTATTGAGTTTCATTTGAAATTTGTATCTACAATGAGTTTAGATCATAGTATGACACATCGTTATTTAAATAAATAATTTTTCAACGTGTATCTCTTGCTTTTTGAGGTGTTAAGTCAATTATTTAAAAAAAAATTAAGCTCCTACGGAAAAGCTATTATTTATTTTAATAAGCTATCCTGATTCATCACGAATCATTTAATTTCATGTGCACGCACGTTTAATTTTGCAATACAAAAATTAAACAATAAAAAAAATGCCTAAAACAAAAAGATCTTTTTACTGGTTACCTTGGTTACCTAGGTTAGTCACATTCAGGCATAAAATATACAAACTTCAATTCTTAATTTCATGCTTAAATTAACGTGATTTTTTACATATATTGGTGCTTGAAGCATAGATTTAATCAAAAAATGTTTCGACCATCGTATCCTTTTGTTTTACACCTGAATGAAAATTTACGATATAAAATATTCAACCAACTTGTTAAAGATTAAAGTAGAAATGTCCGATGTAAATATATTTCTTCTATTTGATGTAGTTCTATTGTTTTGATCTTTTAAAAAACGGAATTCTAGTTGTGAGCGTGCGTTTAATAGTAATATGTGATAGAAAATTAAACGGTATTGTAAATAATGACTTATTTTTGTATGCGCTACTTGGAAAGATTTATTATTGAAGTAAATTCTAAGCAATTTTTGATGACAACTAAACTATCAACATTTTTTTTTTTAATTAATTTTTAATTTTTTTTTCACACCCAGTAAACAATGACCTATAAAAGACGTCTAAAATACGTTATTTAAAAAATCTAAAATGCACATTTGTAGACGTCTAGATCGTAAGGTTAAAGGAATTCTTTAAGACATTACGAAATTAAAGATATCTTTACGACATCTTCTAAAAACATACCAAGCCACTCAAAGACAAGCTCAGCTCACTAATGAGTATTATAACCCGCTTATAAGAAATAATAGTAAGTTAGTTTGTAAAAGAACAGATTTCAATTTAAATAAGTTACTGTTGAGTTAGAAAGATAGCAAAAAAAAAAATGCGGAGAGACCAGTTAGTAAAGAAACACATCACATAAAGACTTTTGGTGTGAGTTAAAACTCCACATGAACATATCTTTTTATTGTTAAAAGATTATTAATTGATATTTGAAAACTATTGTTAAAATTAATTTTAGTGTAGTTAAATTAAAAAAGCATTTTAATAACTCATTGCCCTCATGTTGGGGGTAGGGAAAACAAACTTTTAGAGCACTTCGTTCCCGGGCTCCATTCGTCGCAATTTGTTTTCAAATATTCTCATTTAACGTAAGCAAAAGCGTACTTAAGTTTGGAGTTCATTTGCACATCGATTTGTTAACAATAAAAAATCCTGTCTTCTACAACTGGCAAAAACCGTTTCCTATTAATAATGTAAATTATGTCATTTATGTGCACATAGGGCTAAAGATATCGTCTTTATATTTCAACTTTAAACAAGTGCACAACAAGACAGATGAAAAAACTTAACTTAATAAAACTTGCCAACAGTGTTTCTACTTTAAAAAATCGATATGAATAGTTATAACGGGAAAGTTAAGGAAGCGTCAAAAATACAATATCATAAAAGTACCTTTCACAACGATGGTTTTAACCGGGATGGTGGGTTTTGTGTGGCAATTGGACTTTTTGGAACATTGGTTTACACGCATGTTCCAAAAATTGGATTCAAGTTTTTAAATCACAAAAACTTAAAAATAAAACTTTACAAAAAAAAAATAGTTTGTAAATATAAATGGTTTTTTATATTACTTTGATTTTTTTTTTTTAACAGTTTTTTTTTTTTACTTGTTAACAAGAGTATTACTATTTCCTCGAAATATTATAAAATCCAATAATTATAATATTATAAAATAGTTATTAACAAAAAGAGTTAAACCCATGAAAAAATATTATTTTAAAAATCCATCTAGTTAAACTTATTTTAAGATATCTACATTTAAAGCCCTTACAGTCTGATATATTGAAACACTCATTTCTCTATTTGTATTGCATTACACGTTTTTTTTTTGTTTTGTTTTTTCTGTTCTTTTATTACATTTTGTATATATATAATAACTAAGATACGTAACTAAGAGACGTAACTAAGGTGCGTAACTAAGATAGGTAACTAAGATACGTAAAAATAAGGACTGTATAGGTAACATTATTATAAACATCCATTCTCATATATTTATATTAGCTATACATTTCAAAACTGCGTTTATTTTCCTAGGTATATAACAAAGTGCTTTAAAAAGCTTGAATAAAAACTTTTCCAGTTAAACAAGTATTATGAAATGATTTCAAGCTGCTTTTCAACATACGCGCAACAATAAAAACTGTTACGTTGTTGACACAATACAATAATGTACTGTATTTGTTCCTGAACTTCAGAAGCTAATTTGTGAGAAGAAATTTGTGAACACTAAGATCTTGACACTACATTTGTGTAATAAAAACTGGTATTGAGAGGGGTCAAGATTTACTAAAATCATAACGAAAACATTTTATCAAAAATATTTAGTTTGACTGATAATCTAGGTTTGATTCAGACCTTTTCTAAACTCTTTAATTAAAATCCTTATTATCATTCATTCCATAGATATTCTGGCTAACTTACATCTTTGCGGTGATTATTAAAAAAAATCAAAAGAACAGTTTTTTATTATGGAACCCATTGCATGCGCATCCAAAGTGATGATATCTTTTAACATATAGGAGTTTTTATTATACTTAAAATGAAACAGTGAAGTTAATGATGTGAGTAAATAAGCTACAGTTTTCAAAAATTCGAAGTATGATAAGAAAAAATAATTTGAAAGAAAAAAAAAATTCTCATTTCCTAGTATACTCTTATATATACATATGTAAATTTGTATATACGCATATGAAAAAACTCTATATTTTGCATAAATTGAACTTTCCTTAACATCGCTAACCTTCCTAATAAATTTACAATAGAAAAGATTGTAAAAGTTTTTTAATGCTGGCTAAAGCGTTTCTCTAAGAATCAAGAGATCCAGGTTTTTACGCTTATATATCCGTATATATATATATATATATATATATATATATATATATACATATATATATATATATATATATATATATATATATATATATATATATATATATATATATATATATATATATATATATATATATATATATATATATATATATATTTAAACTAGTGTTTCTGTATATATATATATATATATATATATATATATATATATATATATATATATATATATATATATATATATATATATATATATATATATATTTAAACTAGTGTTTCTGTATATATATATATATATATATATATATATATATATATATATATATATATATATATATGTATGCATATATACAATTTAGTCAATTTAGGAACTTGGGAGCTGTCAGAACAAAGTTATCAAATCAAAATTAAATCTCAGCTGGTCCGATTAAAACGACATTGATTAAACGTCATCATTTTTCTTATTGTTTGTTTCGAAGATAAAATAAATTGCATTGAATTTCTTTTGTGATATTTCTATAATATAGTTCATTATATAAAGAGAAAACAGTTTTAAAATTTTAATTAAAAAGGAAACAACTCTTAGCTTGGAAACATTTATAAAGCAATTTTAAATGGACCCTTGTAGTCAGTTATCAAGCAACAGTCCAAACAATTAAACTAGATTTACAATTGTAAATATTTGCTCATTATTTTATACTTTAAATATAAGTGAAGTTTTTATTGAATTTTTAATTCATAAATATTCAGGAAACAATAAAAAAAATGATTAAGGTGTTGATTGTCATATTTGTGTTAATAAATTCAGTATTTACGAGATGTAACTATATGCGGTGGAGTGGATGCGAAGATTCTGAAGAAGGTAATTTGTTTACAATACAGTATACAAATACTACAGTATTATGGATTCTTTACCATGTTTGACATTCCGAATTATAAATCTTAAGTCAAACTAAGATAAAACTACTATATTATTGCTTATCCGAATGTACTAACCATTACTAAGACATTATTTTAGGTTTCATAAAACTCTTATCAGTTTTAGAAATACTCATGGTTGATGGCTAAAACTTTTTTTTTTTTTTTTCTAATGAATATTTTTTTATTTGTATAAGTATTTAATTGTTGATGATGTCTTTAAATTTGTAATGTAATTAGTGATATTGCAAAGTTTGTATCTGTTGCTGATTAAATTTTTTCATTACATTTTTTTAAATTCACTTATTATTACAATTATTAATTTATTAGCTGGTAAATCAAATCAAGAGGCTATGTCAAAGCTGGGTTTATTATTCCAATCAAAGTTTTCAGGAAAAAAAGACCCTGAAGTTAAGTTAGCGGACCAACGTGAAGATCTCGATTCTGAAAAGTTTAATGATGAACTTAATGATGTTCTGCGTTCAAACCTTGTTAATTTTAACGAAAAAAAACCTGATGAGAAAAACGAAGGTGACGTTAACCACATAACAGAAGAAACAACTCTAAGTGAAAAAAACTACAAAATTTTTAAAAAAATGGATAATATTATTCATAGTCTGATGGGAATTCCATTGGGAATTGATCAATTTGTTGCTAAAAATAGAAGAAAATAACTTATCGCTGCGTTCTTTTACTTAAATACGTTTTGTTTTAATATACTTTTGCATATATATTACATTTAAATAGGCACACCACTTTGTTTTATTCTTTTAAACAGTAGTACGTTAATAGTATCAAATAACTTTTTAAATTAGTTTTTAAAATGCTTTTCATGCGCCAAATACACTTGCATATCAAGTTTATTTATAATTATTGAACGCGTAATATAATATTTTGATCTAATTAGCTTTGCAACATTAGCTTAGCATGAAATCGTCACACGATTTTTTTGTCGGATTTTTGTTCAACGGAGATAAAAGATAACACGTAGCTAAAGCAATTTTAAAAAAGAAATTACTTCCAATTAAGATAAAAACCTTTTAAACTCTTCATAATTTCAATTTGAGCATAAAATATGTTAATAATGTTTTAAAATTTCAATAATGTTTCTTTTCGAAAAAACTAAAAATGTAAACTTGTATTAAACAAACAACGCTAACTTTGACATTTAAACTTTCGATTTTGTACATTACAAGAACAATTTTAACATTCTTACAGGTGTTTACTTTTTGTCAACATATATTTTATATCGTTTAATATTAATTATTTCTTGTAATTATTTATTGGACTATTTAACCTAGTCATTCATGATTTGTTACGAATAAAAAGTGAAATTAAATAAATGATTATTATTTTAAAATTTTTAAAAAAAATGTTTTCATTTTTTTGACAAAGTTGCGACCTTTTGAATTCTTCATTTTTTTTTTGTTTTATTTCCAGTTAGATACAGACAATTAATTTCTGATTTGTTTTTGTTTTTTAACAATTAGCATTAGAGTTGATGACCACAGATGAGGTAAACCTAAAATAAAAACATCTAAAAACTGTTTTTTATAATAACTTTTCAATCAACTGTTTCATTAACATTACTGCATTTACAATATAAATTAATAATCTAACGATATAAATAATAAGTAGAAGGTTGAACTTAGATAAAATTTATCAAACATATGCTTCTAAATAAATTAGGCTTTATCCAGAAACAATCCTTTCAAAACGGCTTTTTGTTTTTGCTATCTTACAAGCGACTTTACAGACAAACAAATGCTGCTTAAATAAAGGCTTTTTCGTGGACCGCTATAAATTAATAACGAGTCGTCAGGTTTATTTTATTTATTTATAAATAACAAAAAAAGTTGTAAAAAAAAGGTTAAAGCTTTTTTCTAATAAATACTCAGAAATCAAAAGAATTTGCTGTATATGAATTATTAATTTATTATTTTAAATAAAGATAGCTTTTTAAAAAATGATAATTTTCAAAGTCATGCTTGAAGTCATTTTTTAAATTGCAATAGAAAATATAAGGATATATATATATATGATGTATAGAAATATAAGGATATATATATATGGATGCTAAAATTACAAGGGTTCAATAAAGTCTTGTTTCATAGAGAAATATTTAAAAAAAAGTTTGAGATTGTGAATCAAATATAATTTTTCCGAGGGATCACCTTAAAATAATCTAAGTAAACAAAAATTGATTTAAAATAACTATATATATATATATATATATATATATATATATATATATATATATATATATATATATATATATATATATATATATATATATATATATATAGTTATTTTAAATCAATTTTTGTTTACTTAGATTATTTTAAGGTGATCCCTCGGAAAAATTATATATATATATATATAATTAATAATCAAATATATATATTATATTATATATAATTAATAATCAAATATATATATTAATAATCAAATATAATTTTTCCGAGGGATCACCTTAAAATAATCTAAGTAAACAAAAATTGATTTAAAATAACTATATATATATATATATATATATATATATATATATATATATATATATATATATATATATATATATATATATATATATATATATATATATATATATATATATATATATATATATATATATATATATAGTTATTTTAAATCAATTTTTGTTTACTTAGATTATTTTAAGGTGATCCCTCGGAAAAATTATATTTGATTCACAATCTCAAACTTTTTTTTAAATATTTCTCTATGAAACAAGATTTTATTGAACCCTTGTAATTTTAGCATCCTTAACAACATCTTTAACAACCGTCCTTTTAACAGCATTACTGTTCTCTTTTTGACCAAAAATTCTCCCAAAACTTTTATTTTTTCTTAAGGAAAATATACTGATAAGTTACTTATTAAGTAATTATATTTTCCATTACTTAAGGCAACTTAGAAAAAAAAAATCACTGGAATGCTTGTCATTAATATTTCAAAATGGCTAAGGCTTGCGGAGTTTAAACAAAGAATTAAATCAATTAAAAGGAAACGAAAATTGTATGTAAAAAGAACTTGTTTGTAAATAATGTTGATAAGAGTGTAAATACAATCAATGCAGACAAGGAATCATGTTTTGTAGAAATGAATGTAAGTATAAGCAATGTATATATGGAATCAGGTTTTGTAATTCTGAACCTAAATATAAATGTAAACATGAATGTAACTATTGATTTTAACTTCAGTGGTTCTGATAAAACTAGTGCTTCAGTAAACAAAACATTAAGTGATCCATTTTAAAACTGGCAGACAAGCAAGTGTTTTAGTTTAAGATAAAAGATATTTGCATTCTTCAAAGTATTTATTGGTATCAATTGAAAGGTATTTAAGGGTATCAATTGAAATCAATTAAACTTAAAAGATATAAAAATACAGAACGCACTAAAACACCCAAATTTCTAGTAAAAAAACACTTCAAAGGATGAATCCCGTGAAAAGGAAGAAAACCTACATCAAACGGATCATTCCAACACTTAAACTTGTTTTATCAAGATTTGCATATTTATGTCTATATTCTTTTAAAAGTTTGTATGTTATCATTTTTAAAAGTTACTTTTCTCAGAATATGGGTTTTAAATAGACAAACCAACTTATCTAAAATAAAAGTGAAAAAATAATAATTAAAGGAAAAATTTATAGCAACAAAACACATGTTACTTTTCCTTTTGTCACCAAAGTGTAACATATTTTAATAAAATTATACCCAGGTATGAAATATGTAAAAAAACAAAGTCATAAAATTGAGTAACTTCTTTTACCCCAACAACCATGATTACAAAATTCATGTAAAATCTGTTTCTCCAATGTCAAAAATCAGCCTTGCGAAAATAAGATGTAATTTATTTTTTGATAATATAATATTTTTAGATATATTTGCTGAGGTCTTTCAATATTTTTGTGGTTTTGGCACCGGTTACAGGTGCCACTTAAACCCCAAAAAATAGATGTTGTTTTTTTCTCATAATTTTATAATTTAATCAATATTTTAAAATTAAGTATTAACAATCAATGCAAAAAAAAAAAAAAAAAAAAAAAGTACAGAATTTGAAATTAAAAGCAAGCATTATGGAAAAATTTATTCATTCAATTTCAATTCAACAATTTATTATCAATTCAAGTCAATGCTTTAGCAAACCCAAAATAAACGCCAATCTGGATTGACGTTTTGAACAATCAAAATTGACGATTATTTGGTTCATAACTGTATCTAAACCATTGAATTATGTTTTACATTTAAAGCATGTACATGGATTACCAAACTTTCATCACTGCAAAGTTCTTTTGAAGTACCCTTTGTTATTGCAAATCTCTTGTTTCAAAATTCAGTTTCCGCATATAGTTATGTATATCCTTCATCAAAAAAATTTATAGCCGCATTTAGACCTTCAAAAGCTTTATTACTGCTCATATCAACGTTATATTCTTTTAAAAATAGTCAATTGTTTTGCAAATGAAATGTTTATAGCTTACATTGCAAGTAAATTGATAACACAAAAGAGTTATCAGCTTTTACAAAAATAGCATCATAAAAACATAATAATTTTTTTTTATTAAAACTGACAATGCAATGCTTCAGCGCAGTGGTTAAAGTTCTGGTTTGGAACCAAAAGGTATGTGGTTTGATCCTGGCTCTGGCCAGGTAAGTTACATTGGTAAGGAAGGAGGCGTAAACTTCCTAGCTCAATGCTCTTCCGCGGTGCTCTGTGTTTAGAACTTAAAAATCCCTTTGAGCACCATAAATACCACATAAAACATTAATATAAAATAGTGGCAAATTAGATGTATAACATGTATACAACTTTTTAGTCATCCAAAGAATTTAATTGGACGTAACTGTTTACTGATATCGCTTTGACCTTCACCAAATTTAAAGCATGAGCAATGGATGGAAGTGCTTTTAACTCACTTTTATTTTCAGTTATCACAGAAGCACCATCATTTGCCCGTCTCAATTTAATAATGATGATTTAAAAAAAAATTTCATTATATAAATTAATAAATTAATAAAATTATAGAATTATAAAAAATTATATTATATTTATTAAAGTTATAAAAAGAAGGCTTTCATTTTTTATATAAATTTTTCCATACAATCACCTGATTTTATAAACCAATTATAACAAAACTAATACTTAATGATATTGTATTCTACTTTGTCATCTAGCTAATTGTCATTCTGATGACTTTATAATTTTACTAGGATACGTAAAATGTTGTAAAAAAAAGGGTCATATGTGCCCCGCGCACCAAGATAATGGGGGCGCTAAAAGATGACAGAAAAAAAAAACATATTGAGATTTTATTTTCAAAAAAGCAAAAAAAAAATTATTTTTATTGATGAGGTATAAAATAAATTTACTTTACATAGTGATATGCTTTGTTACATGGTGATGTGCAAGTTACATGGTGATGTGCAAGTTACATGGTGATGTGCAAGTTACATGCTGATGTGCAAGTTACATGCTGATGTGCAAGTTACATGGTGATGTGCAAGTTACATGGTGATGTGCAAGTTACATGGTGATGTGCAAGTTACATGGTGATGTGCAACTTTTATTCTTATTACCAAAGAATTATAGTTTAAATAATTTATTTCATTTTTTTTGGTTGAAAATGACCAACCAAAAAGACTTGTTTTTTATAGTGACAATGTTGAAGAAAACTTATTAAGATTTGGTCTTATCCAAACAAAACATTTTTGTTCATTAATCTCATAAGA